ATAATCTTATTATAATCTTATTATAATCTTATTATAATCTTATTATAATCTTATTATAATCTTATTATAATCTTATTCTAAAATTCCTTTTTTTTTTTAAAGGTGTGCTTCGCAACCAAACAACATTATAATACCGATTATAAGTTTTCTTTTAATAAGCATGATTTTCTTCCTTGTTATAATATGTTATATATCAATTCTTAAAACTTTACTTTGTCATGCAAAGGAGTTTTATGTGGATGAAAATAACATAGATGACAAGGAAGTTAGGATTAGAAATAATCCCGGAAGTGAATTGGCAAGAACAAGAAGTAGTCTAGAAAAGCGCGTATCCAATAAAATAATAAGCTACGTTCTTGTTTTTATTATGCAGGTACTTTTTTTGTTTGAAATGATTAGATTATTTTATTTTCTTTATTATTATTTTTTTGGTTTGTTTATATATATATATTTATATTTTAGTGGACACCTGTGCAGATTTTTTGTGTTGCTAAATTTTTTGGAGTAAGTATTGTAATAAAAAAAAATACAATTTGATCATATTCACATTCTGCTTACTCTTTTTTTTTAAAAAAAATAGGTTGATTCCGCGTGGATATACGTTGTCTGCGTCATAGGTAAAATTTTCTCTTTGTATCCTAAATTTCTAATATAATAACTCACCTAATTCCTGAATTCTAATCAAACTATTTCAAAAAAGGTATTCATTTTGGTGGAGTAGGTAACGCTATCCAATATATAGTTAACGAAGGTTGGCATCCTCGTAATGTCGATCCAAACGTGAGCTGGTCCTTTGTAGAGTCACCATCTCGTTTTGTCAAACGTCTTTATCCTAATTCTCAAAACATGCACGCTCCATCATCCATTTCTTCACTTCCATCATCTTCACGTCCACCATCTTCATCAACCGTTTCAATCTGTGTTAGAAATTCACAACAAATCAACAATAAGATGAATAATAACAAAAATCACAACAACAACAACAACAACAATAACAATAATAGTAACAATAATAATAATAGTAACAATAATAATAACAATAATAATAATAACAATCTAGGTAATAATTTAGGTAATAATCTAGGTAATAGTATAAGTAATAATAACGACAATAACGATGATGACAATAATAGTCATCATCATCGAAGTTTTTACTATAATCATCATCATTCATCATCATCAATTTCCAATCCACATTTTTCAGCGCATAAAACTTTTGATAAGCATGGAACAACTAATTCTATAGGCAGTGATGTTTTGAGCAATACAATTAGTAGCAATAATAGTGTAAAGGATTTGAACAATAACCCTTATAATATTGAAATTAACATTGATATTAATAATTTTGTGACAGAAAGTGAAATGGCATTAAGTAAAGTGAAGATTAAAGAAAAATAGTATTAATTAAAAAAAAAAAAAAATTAAGGTTGAACATGAAGGGGGATGTGGGATGATCGAATTAGCATTAGTATTTGTAACATTTGGATTTTTTTGGGTGATGTTTTGTACCTGATTCATTTGATTCATGTAAATTTCAATTTGTACAAAGCAATATATATTTCATTACACTTTTTTTTTTTTTATATGTGTGTTAATGTATATCCCTTATGCTGTAACTGATTAAAACCATTATTTTATATTATTTTATTTGTTAATCTACATAAGATCCTAAGGGACGGTGCGTAAAATTGTGCAGTGATGGCAGTGATGTAACCTGATTAAGCGAATTTAGAAATTCATAACCAATTAAATTTATTAATTAATGAAAAAAAATCTCCGATTTCTTATAAACTTCTTATAAACTTCTTATAACTACGCTTAATATTTACAATAGACTTTATGCGCTGCTGTGATGTATGGATGTGAAGACATGTTGTCGTTGTTTTCCATATTCTGGTCGATCACATTAGTCGGAGTTTAAGTAACAGACCAGCATGGCCAAATGGCACTTACAGCATCGTATCATTATCATCGTTATGCATACATTCAATTCTACTGTATTTTACTACTGTAGTTTACTTTTTAGTTTTTACGGATTCTGAAACTTTATAAAAAGTTTGATCTATATGTTTACATTATGTTTACATTATTAATTGAAACCTTTTTGTCTTTTTTTCTTTTTGTCTTTTTTTTCTTTTTGCACTAAAAGACAATGATACGTTTTAACTACAGTGCTAAATTAATGTTAAAAATGTTGTATAACTCGGAGTCATTAATAATTTTGTATTTGTTACACACTAGCATTAATTATTGATACTGCATACATTCCCCTATTTACATTACGTATTTCATTTAATGTAAAATTTGTCTGGTTAATAATATAATAAATACGTATAAGGTGTACTAGTGTAATATTAAAGTTCGATCTTTGATACCAATCTTGTTAGAAAAGATGTATACTTATAATATAGCGCAACAGGTGCAACAGGTAATATTAATGTTACATAGAGAATTTCGTTGAGTATAAATGTCCTCCTTAAACATTCAAATCAAGTTTCTTCACTTAATTTTTTAAGTCTTTGATAAGAAAATAACGCTGTTGAGAGAACACACTTTTTTAACGTTATCGAAGGACATAATTCTTTTCCTTTCTCTCAACAATTTGTTTTTCTTAGGCTTTGATAGCTTTTTTTTTTCAAAAAAAAATTTTTGGTGTTTCATCTAAGTCCAAAGTTTATATACCTTTGTTATAAAAAAATGGTAGCGATTAAATCTTTAGGTGTCATTTTAATTGTAAATGCAATTTTATTTATTAAAATTGTTAGTGGAGATGATATTGATTTGGATTATATGCTTAGTCTAGTTAATGCTGCACGTAGTGATAATGGTGTAGAACCTCCACTTCAACTAAATAGGTAATTTTATGGATTAGATTGCAATATATATCAATATATACGTATATATGTATATAGTTTTTTACAGTAATTGCATAATTTCAATTTGACTTTTAAATACATATACAATATGTATCTATCTAATTTATTAATAATTATAATGTTTTTAGTCTCCTTGTTGGTACAGCTCAATATCATTCCGAATGGATGGACGAAAATAACGATTTAAGTCATGATGACGATGAAGGCGATTTTGCAACCAGGATTTCTAATACTGGTTATGATTGGAATTTTCTTGGTGAAAATATAGCTGAAGGATATACCGATGAGGATTCGGTTATGGATGGGTAATTATTATTATTGTTATTGTTATTTCATTTCGTGCTAATTATTAGTACTTTTAATAATAAAAATTATTTTATTAATTACTGTAGGTGGATGAATTCTGAGCCTCATAGAGAAAACATTTTAAGTCCTGATTTTAGGGATTTTGGTGCTGGACGTTCTGGTAATTATTGGACCCAAGATTTTGGTTGTACATTTGAAGAAAGTGATTCCTGATGATCTAGGTTCAGATTTTGATCAAACTTAAGATTCAGATTTTTATGATCAACCTTCAATTCTAATAAAGTGTCAAGTATAATCTTGTCAAAGATTAAAAATTCTGTAAAAAATAAAATTGTGATTTTTTGTACTTTTAGATAAAAGATTATAATACCTACTAAAATTCATTTATACTTTTTTATTAATAAAACTATAACAAAAGGCCCCAAAAAATTTTAAATTTTAACATTAAAATATTTTAAAATCTCAGCTTCAGCTGCCACATTAATTTATTTTAAATGCGTTACCAAGCTTAAATATACGTTTGTCCTTTGTATTTTCTTAACAAGATTATATATTTTATATTTGTTACATGATTGTAATATTTTATATATAACGTTTTGGTTTATGACTTTATTATAATTTTGAATCAATAATTGAAATACATTTGTACGATATTGGGTGATAATGATCATGATAACGCTCAAGCATCACAATGACGACATTTATAGAGTTAACTGCTTGAACGTACACTTTCTATTTTTCATAATCTTCTCTACGCCTCCTAAAAAACCAATAAAAAATTTTTTGTTCAACCAACTGCCGAAGCTTCAACTTCAGTTTTACTGGCTTCACCTTTTAATGATTTAACTAAATTAAATTTTTGTTGCAACAGTAACAGATCAACTTATGGAGTTGTTAGCGAAAATTGCTTTGCGGAAACAAGTAAATTTTTTTTTATAAAATTTTTTTATAGGCTAATTTTGCAGTTACTACATATTACGTACGCAACGAAAGTATCATAGGTAATACGAAAATTTTTTTTTCGAAAAAAGTTATAAGGGTCATCTTTGCTGAAAAATTATTCATTATAGTTTGATTAAAAGATGGGCTGCATTTATTACCTTCATATTAAGGCATCGATTATTTGCTTTAAAAGCTTCGAGCATTAAAAATAAAGTAGCTAATTTTTTTTTAGATCGGTTAGAAATTTGTTGTTTATCATGTAAAAAATGCAAAAGTAATATTTATCAATTGTAAATTTTTGAAGAAAAAAGATGGTTTAAGCTGTTTCAGCTCATTTGGTTAATTTATTCGATTTCCGACTATTAAAAATTTGCCTCCAATCCATTGAGCCATTGAGTGAGGTGCTTGAAAACACCCTATAACAAGAGGTGACTATAAATAATAATTCTACAGTAAATACTGTATTTATTCCCCGGTTCTTATTTATACTTCTATATCGATATTATTCCTTCTCGATTATTGTCCAGATTTCGGATTCGGGCTGATCCGGGATTTTTTTTTAAAAAAAAAAAAGAGTGAAAAAGAATTTGAGATCTGTAGTAAGCTAGACTTTATGAAATACGCAATTTTACTTTGAAGAAATGGTATAGAAGTATAATAGACCTGGGAATAAATCAGTTATTGCCCACTTCGTGGACAATAATGTATTTGTTATCAAGCTGAATATTTTTTTGATCCAATGATATTAAATTAGATTATTCAAGACGACTTTCACGAATTTTGTGTAATTAAATATTCATTAATAAATATTCACGAATTTGTTAACCGAACATTCGTTTTTATTCATTTTAATCGTGGATATTCACATAAAGAAGTTATAATTCTCTCGTGTAATAAATTTTACGACATCAATTAACGGATTTGTCATAAGTTAGCTTTTTAAATGTGTTACTAGATATTATTGTAACCCTATCATTTTTAAAAATTTACAGTATAATGAGATTTGACAAATAAGAATTTCAATTTCATTATTTTATTTTATTTTTTTTTTCATATAAAATTATTTTTATTGATTTGATAATATATAATTTTAAATCCATTTTTTAAATTAAATTTGAATTCTCTAATCAGCCGAGTCAGTTTAGAATTCTATTGTAACGCGAGTTGATTCGGAATCCACCAAAAATTCGATTTCAACGTGCATCCCATTACAATAAACTAGGAAAACGGGATCCGTTGGGTTCCGGAGCGCCGCTTAGTATTAGTAAACAAGCTTTTAAGGTTGCTTAGTAAATCTACTAATTAGCAATATGCTAGTGAAAATTTGTTTAGTGTAAATTTATGACTATTATACAGATATACTTATCTTTATGTTCTATAAAAATGTAAAGGATATTAAAGGCAATGTAGCAATGTGAATTAGGTTAATATGATGTAATTGGTGATGCAAAACGGCTCCACGTAATACAAGCTGAGCTGTTAGTTAGTTGAGCCGTTAGTTAGCCGAGCCGGTTTAGAGCTGTGAGCCGATTATATGACTCTAATATGTTGTAATTACTATAGTAACTGTTATGACATAACTAATATAACGATAATAAATTTTCGTAGTGATAATAAACTTTCGTATTTATAATATTTTGTAAACTATTTGTTATAATATATATCTATTTTTCTTTTTGATATACTTACAAATGGATCCTATCGACCTTTCTTATATTAATTCCCAAAATTCGCAAGACACTTTGCAAGAAACTTCTGATAATAATATAACGATATAACAATAATTTTTTTTATATGTTTCTATACTATCGCTGCTTGCACATTTGCAAATTATTAATTATTGACATGTATTAACGCTGAAATATAGAAATTTATTTAATACTTCACTATGATCAGTTTATAAAATAAATCAATTATTTTATGGTATTTTTAAATGATAAAATAA